TTCCGCAAAACGGAATTGATGCGCGGGGTCCGGAACACGCGGCCCTAGGCAAAAAATAAAAATAAAAAAAATTCCCCCAACCCCTGAAGCACCTCTTATACCACGGAATTAGACCAACACCCACCGGCCTGCCACCCGCCACTCACCAACCCCCCGGCACCAGTCCCCAAACCTACCCGGAAGCCCTCTAAGCCATCCGCCCCCGCATCCCCCAACTCCCAAGGCCCCAATTATGTGTGTGCAGGGGCGAGGTCCTATTAGTAGTCGGATAGGAGTGTGGTCGATCCAGTGTGACACTGAGTGGCAGCGACCTGACAGGTTCATTACGAATTTTTGGGCTGAGAAAACAGAAGAAAGACCAAAAAAAAAAATAGAAACAGAGACTTCCCACCGGAAATCACGGCAGAGTGCTTCCCAGCCATCAGATCACAAATGATCTGATGGTGGTGGTTGCAACAACAGTGAACAAAGTGACCGCCACATTTTCTAGAATAAACTTGTCACTTGACTTCTGTCAGAACTGATCCTGACACCCTCCATATACTCCGTGATTGAAGGAGGGCTCCACCCAATGAGATAATTGCACGACAGCAAGTAAAATACTGAAAACCTTATATCCAGTGGGCCTAAGGCCGACCTCACCCTCGTTTGGGGTTTGCCACACCCCCAACCGATTGAAAAGATTCTGGCGGGAAGCTTTCTTTGCACGGGCATGCCCAGTGTTAACGAGAGGAGGGGAACGAAGATCTCCTTACTTTTTCGGGTAATACAAATAAAATACTGACCGTGGGATCATGAGTACTGCACGGCAGGATTCGGGTCACTCAACTGCCCCACAAACTCGTTTCTTTCCTGTCCCGTTGCTAGTGGGACCTCGCCCCCGGTGTGCTGTGTGTGCGAGCATGTGTGTATGTGTGTGCCTGCGTGTGAGAGTGTGTATGTGCATGAATATGTATGTATGCGCGTGTGTTTATGTATGTGTGTGTTTGTAAGTGTGTGTGTGTGTGTGTGTTTGTGTGTGTGTGTGTGTGTGTGTGTGTGTGTGTGCATGATTGCTGGCGTGTGTGTGCATGTGTGTGTGTGTTTATGTGTGTTTCTGTGTGTTGTGTGTCTCTGTGTGTTTGTGTGTCTGTTTTTCCTTTTTTTATTTGCTTTTATGTTTTTTTTTTTTTTTTACATGAAGTTAAAAAAATAGATAAATAAATGTTGTTGTACATCTTTGAAATGTCTATAACCCTATATTTTTAGCTTGTTTTTCTGTTTGTTTTTTTTTAGCCCTAAAAATATCTCTGTGCGAGGCTACGCCCGCTTAGCCCCTACGGGGCCCTATCTGCAACAAGGTCGGCCGCCCTAAGTGAAGGCAGGCACGACAGGCCCTTCGGGCCTCATTCTTC